CGGCGGCGAGGTTTACGGCTGCGTATACGGGGAAAATTTTCATGATGCCGCGAGGAGAGAGAAAGAGAAGAGATCATCCCGTCGTTGGACGGGTTTCTGCCACGAAAGGAAAAGAGAAAGAGGTAGGGGAGAGCAAAAGACAGAAAGAGAGACGACGTGGTTGCATCAAATGCGAATAATTCGGTGATCAGGATCGCAAATGTATCCGCTGCATCACGCTGCGTCACGACGTTGCAACGTTCTCCACCAGCAGGTGTATCGGGCTTAAATGCATTTTGCGTAATTGAAGGCGCGCCGCCACGGAAACGTTTCAGCAAGTGCGGTAATATCTGTCTCGCGAAGAATTGTGACTGCAATTTTCGAGTAGCCGGCGCGCATCCCTCCACCGCATCCTCGTCTCCCTCGCGCGCGTATAGCCTTTCCTCCTTCCCCTTTCGACTATCGGACGGCGGCATGGGCCTCGCGGGAGAGGAGCGGGAGAGGAAATAAAAAATATGACGCTTCTAGCGGCGTAACGCGAGCCTTAATGGCATTGTTAACATAATTCTTGGGCGCGGCGCACACGAGCGGCCGCATAACTTACACCGCCGAGCGACGACGAGGAATTATTTCGAAGGAGATACGGAGCTACGGCCCCGAATACATCATCACGCGATACCGGCGGCGCGCGGGAAACCGCGATTTCGTGGATCTTCGCGCGGCGTCCGTGTCGCGAATAATTAAATGGATTCGCGGCGCTTAAGTTGAAATCTATTAGTTCGCCGCGAAGAACGGGGAGAGCTATCTCGCGTAGAAAAGTTCTTCATCAACAATCCTTCCACTTCTTGGAGCGGAATCCCACTCAAAATGAACGAAAAACGGTTTTCACTCGGGATTGCAAGAGCTTCGCTCGAGCTTAACCCTTTGACTCGTATGAGCGAATGTTTCAGCCGATTAGAGTGAATATGTTCTTCTACGTGACATGTAGAGTATATCGTGAGATTCGCTCTTCAATGTCCAGCGCAAATGTTTACTCGACGACTTTATGGAATAGAATTTACTCCGAACATGAGCGAAAAATTATTCGAATCCAACTGAGTCTGCTTTCCGAGTAAAATTCCGCTGCAAGAAATTTACTGAGAGCACTACGTGCTGCGCGGGACGGGGAGTAATTAATAATAATTAGTCCGTGCTACATAATAATTTTCATCAGCGCGCGGTCAGTCGCGCTGAAGCGCAAGAGAGTTCAGCGGCATTGCGCGAGTCCTGCGCTTTTTATCGCCTTTACGACGACACTCGTCGCCCTTATTAAGACACTGACAGCCGTAATTGTTGTCGTATTTTTTCCCCGTAATGAGCACTTTCAGTTGCAACGAATCCAGCTTCTAATAGCCGCACGCGTTAGCCTGCGTCTTGATTTACAGGAACGCTTAACCCTATCCTGCGCGCTCCTCAGAGCGTGTACGCCCTTTTCTGACGTCTCGCTCGCATAATACATTCTCGGTTTACAGAGCTGCGCGTTCAACGGAAGCTACTCGTAGAACACGCTGTGTCGCAAGCACGGCAAGCACCGTTCTCCGCTCATTAACAACGCCGTTTAATTGGGTCGGTTGATGGTAGATTGGAAGCCGGCAGCATTGATAATCGGCTCGAACGAGCTAACGGTATCCTCGAATATTCGAATCGAATGCGCGGCATCTGTCTCCCTCTGACTCTCTTGCTCTCCCTTCCCTTTCGTCCTTCCTGCGTGCGATCGAGCCGGTGCGTCAGGTCCGGTTCGAGCGATTACGAAAACCGTGGGCTGTAACCGGCCACGGGTGACGACCGCGACGAGACAACGACGAGAGCACGGCGACGTAACGAAGACGAGGTGGATGTTGGCGCGACAAAAAGCGCCGTCCCGGCTGGGTGAGGCGGGTAAAGCGGCACGGCGAAAAGGGAGGCGGTGGCGTACGCGGTATCCGTGTATTATTATCCGCGCGCGCTTTTAAGGCGTCATCAGCTGGCAATAAAAAGGCGCTATACGAGAGCGCCTCGCGAGACCGGGCGGGAGAGAAGACCGACCGGCTGACGCGCCGGTTGGGCATCGGCTTAAACTATAACTCCATATAAGGCGATCGAACGATTAACAGCTCGGGAGCGCGGCGAGTGTATATGGATATGTGCGCGAAAGGGCTCTCCGCGGGAGAGCGTAATCGTCGATAAACCGTGCAAACGCGTAACGAGACGTACGTCGCTTTCGTCGGCAGAGAGAAATTCCAGGCGGTGGCTGTTATCGAATAAATTGGTATGTATCGGTCGTTAGCCGTCGCAACGTGCAACGTGTGACGCACGCTCTCGCGTACTAATCCGATTAAATCCCATTACGAATAATTTCGGAGCCCGCAATAACGGGCGAAAGAGAGGAGAGACAGAGAGAACGAACCACGCCGGCCACCGATAGATATCCGGTCCGCGTGCTCGACTGCCCGGGGACGTGACGACGGTTGCGTTATGAGCGGTGTATAACCCACTCTCTTTCGGCGACTAAAGCACTAAAAATATAAGAGAGGCAAATCATGATGCCGATTGAAAATCCCCTGAACCGGACGGTTTGGCCGCGCGAGCGAGAAACGCCAATGTTGGCTCGCCAATTAAACGATCGTTCGTTTGTTCGCACGTACGTACATACGTACGGCCGTTCCTTTATTTCCGCCGAACTCCAGGATGTTAACAGGAGTTATTGATCGTCGTGGGAATCGCGCGCGAGGTGCGCGGGATTTACGGGATGCGCGCTTGAATCACGCCGACGTCCCCCTAACGCGCGCGTGAATGCAAATAATATAGCGCGTAATTGCATTATCCGACGAATTTATACGAGTTAGCCGCAAAATTTCGCGAGCGCATAAATTCGCGCCTCGCAATGCGTCATGGTTGTTTATAGGAGAGCCCGGCAGACAGGGGCCCGCTGTTTTTCACGGCAGTTGAAATCCCGCTGTTTTGCTTCGAGCGTTAAATTTCTACCGTCGCCGCTGGGGCGGAAGCGTAGCTTTCGTTCTCGGATTACTTTTTCTCGAGTCTTAGAATTACAGCGTCGGAATTTACGTAGCGAATATATTAGAATAACGCTAACGGCGCGCCGAACCGCGGCTCGGAGATAGCGGTAATACCTCTTTCAGCTTCGAAAGTCGCGAACGCCCGCGAGACACGAGAGATAGGAGGACGCGCGGTAGTGTCGCGCATAGAAATTTCCAAAGATTTTCCCGGATGCAGCGTGGATATCGATTAGAATGCTCAAACTTGCCCCAAAATTATTTGCGACACCAATTGGGTGCTCCATTCTTCTTCCAAACATGGTTTCTCTGCCCAGAATCATAGCAGAAACTTTACGGGAACTTCTTTCTCGCTAACGTGGGTTTACTTTTACGGTGTCAAATAGAAATTCTACTTTTACACCAACTGTTATATTCGATAAAATAAAAAATTTTTAAAAATTGGTTTCAAACATTTTGAATATTTTATTGAATAATGAAACTATTTGGAAAGTCAACGTACGTTTTATTCAACGTCAAAAAAGGTATCGGGGAAACTTTGGCTTACTTTTCTATTTACAATCGCGCACGTTTAAAACATAACACTTTTAACCAAGACTCACAATTATTTTGGGGAATCATACTGAATTCCATACAATAAAAATATATATTTTTTAAACACTTTCAGTGTATTTTAATGAATAATGAAATTATTTGGGACTACCATACATTTTGTGCAAACCAATGTGAAATGATTAGCAGAAAGAATATTGGAAAGACCTTTCTGTTTAGAATCGCATGTTTGTAAGGTTTAAAATAAAAATACACGAAAATATACGAAAAATATAACCAGAACCTGCAATTATTTTGGAGAATCAGGTCAGATGCCGATCGGATCCCGAGAAATGTTCTACACACGCGGTGTATCCGCGTATTTCCCGTGAAAAATCGTATCTGCACTTTTTCCGGAACGAGCCGACACTCCCGGGAACAGCAAGCGCCGCGTCCCTCGAACGAGATCACAACGGAGATAATTGCAAATAACCGAACGGCGTATGAATATTTCAGAGCGCGATGACTAATAGAGCAGTACACACGGCATCGCGTGCGTACGCCGACAAAACATCCCTTTCGACAAGTGTACGGCGGATATTACATTTTTGACGGACGACGGACGGAGCAGACGTCCGATCGCGGCACGGTGGAATGTGGAACAAATACAGATTTCATGAAAAATCGATGTGTCTTCCGTTACACGCGCGGTACCACGCGAATTTCGTGCGGTGGGACCATCGCACACTGTACGCTTGTTGTTTCATGTCAGGATTGGGTCAAGGGAGAGAGAGAGAGAAAGAGAGAGAGAGGGGAGGAGAGAGAGAGAGAGAGAGAGAGAGAGAAAGAGAGAGAGAAACTCCCAATATTGCGGCAGGAAAAAGGAAGAGGCAGAACGTGCTATTATATTCCATCGCGATCGGGACGTCAGAGAACGCGCGATTCTAATTTCGAGATCGCGACTGAATACCTCGCTCGCGGCGTCGACTCGTTTGCATTTTTCGTTCGCGCCCTCTTTTCCTGCCGTCTTTTACGCGCCACTCGAGACAGCGGCACCCGCTGCTGACGTATTTTCTAAGGTTTGTCTTGTAAACATCAGCGCTTAATCAAGATCGTATCGTCGTATAACATCGCTCGCGAGCCATCCATCATCCCCTGCGAGAGAATCACGACTCACTCGAGTACACTAACGCATTAATATACATCGGCAAATATACGAATGGGGGATAAGCAATTGATTGGGTTACGTCACGCGTCATTGGTCACGTACTCGCAAAGGTAAATGCAATGCGTCATTTTGACAGACACTACGGTATATCGTTTAACACCCCGGCGGATGCGCTGAATACAGAGAGAATGCGTGCGACGACGACGACGACGACGACGACGACGACGACGGCAGCGGCGACGACCGCGGCGCTTCATTTTCGCGTGCGGGAGCGAGCGAGCAAACGTCAGCTCTCGAGCTCTCAGTCAGAGTGCGTCGACCGGTCGTCCTTCTTGATTAACAATTTTACTTTCTGACAAAGCGGATGATTCGCGAGTGAAAATGACAAATCACCGCGTCAACGGCATAGCGCGTCGCTCTAAAAAACTCGCGCAGTAATCAGACGCGGTCATCGCCGGATTAACAGCCGGGAGGACAGCTCGGGACGGCAAATAGCGTCGCGTCGCCGACTAAAAGCGTTGTAATCTCTGCCGCGATAATGAAGTTCCTCCAAACATTTTTCCGCTATGCAAAAACGACGCGCGCCATCTGCCCAGAAAACTCTCTCCCTTCCCCCTCTTTCTCTCCTTACCCGACTCACCCTTCCTTTCTCGCTTCAATCGCGATGAGACAAAAACGCGCGGAGCGTCACAAACGATCTCCTTCGCCGAGAGCGCGCTCTGGTAAGAGCTCTCTACTCGCCCGTCCGCTAAATCGTTTTTCGTTGTTTTTGCGCACGCAACAAAAATGAACACCCTGGCTGTTGGCTCGCACAAAGGCTTATCCGGAGAGTACATAGCGCGATACCTCGCGTAGGCGACACAGTCCGAACCGGATCGTCCTCTCCGTCTGCGAATCATGCTCCCATTAAATGTTCCGGTCTCTCTCCTCCTCTCTCTCTCTCTTTCTTTCTCTTCTTCCGCTGTGCCGTTCTCGACGAGAGCTTGGAAAGAAAAAAAAAAAGAAAAATGCAGAGGAGCGTTACGCGAACTTAGACGTCCGTAGACGTTTTATCAGCCTCGCAAAGTCAGAGGCCCGCGGCGACGTCGTCGGACGATGTCGTACGTCAGCGCGACGACCTCGCCGGGAGATAACGTAGCGTCCTTTTGGAGGTGCTCGATTAGTTCGAAAACAGCTCGTTGCCGACAAGCTACGAGCAGTATCGCTATGCTGACATCGTTTCTCTCTTTCTCTCCTCTCGGTAGTGCCCGGTGCTGCTGCTACTGCTGCTACTGCTGCTGCTGATGAAGCTATCGCGCATTGTTGTGCAGCTGGCAGAAGAGAATCCCGCGGTAACACATGTAAACGAGCCGTGTAGACGTGCTGTAGGGTTATGTACCGGTTTGCCGCATCCACGTAAACGCACACGCTTCCACGGCATATACACGTGCGCGCCTGCCGAACATACAGAGTGTCTCTGACCAACCGCGCTTTATGTTAAACATACCGTCGCGAAAAATTGCGCCAGCGTTGTCGCTCGCCTTGCGAGCGTGACGTCGCGACGTACGGCGATACAGTATTGTTCGCTATTAGTACAAATAGACGAGCCACGCGCCGTTGATGGATAAGGGACGTGCACGTGAGAGAGCACTGCGGCAACGCGAGGAGGGAAAAAGCGCATCGTGCACGTTTCACGGTGCCGGTCGCTGAAATAAACATTTCAAATGCACAACTGAAACGTACGTTTTTAAACGCACAATTTTTTTGTTTTGTTTGGAGCGCGGTTGCACAAGAATGAAAAACAGAGGTAGAGCCGAGAGTTGCGGACGACGAGAGTGCTTCGCGTGGACTTGACTTTCCTTTCGCTCAAAAATCACCTCCCTTCGCGTGTCAGACACCAGCGCGCCGCGTTTTCACACACATACGCACACACTCCGCGCAAGGTTCATCATTGAAAGGAAATACAATCGGTTAGGGACACCTTGTACATAGATAACATAATACACGGGGGACGATTCGGAGGAAGGATGAAGGAGAGGGAGCGCGCGAGATACGGAGGAAGTGTCGAGTAATGCCCAGAAGAGGAACTATGTGAAGGGTAGATAGGAAATACCTAGCGGTGGTGTAATGTGCAATCGCGGCAACAACGACGGTGACGACGACAACGACGTCGACGTCACCGACGACGACGACGACAACGAAGAGTTCGTCGACAAGGAGAACCGCGTCAACAAGTACGCGACCGTAGGTGGAATGCGGCCTTTTATGCTTGTTCCTCTCTTCCGTCCTCGCTCCGCCGACTTCCGCCGACTTTCGCTTCCTTCTGTGGTCTACCCTTCTTTGAGCGTTGTCTACGTAGCGTGGCGCGCACTTGTCGTTCCAGACGTTTGAGATGCACGCACATCGACTCACAGAGTGATATATATATATATATATATATATATATATATATATATATATATATATATATATATATATATATATAGAGAGAGAGAGAGAGAGAGAGAGAAAGAGAGAAAAAAGCGCGTCTTCCTATCACCTGCGCAGGTAAAACGCCGAGACATCGCCACCATCAAGCCTGCCGGGATACGACGCGGCGTCTCATGGCGGTAGATTATGCGGTACCGACGCGCGGAGGTTGTTTGTACGCGGATAAGAGGGGTCAGGTCTGGTGTCGTCCATTTTTCACAACTTTCCTCTCGCCACGAAGGCTCTCGTATCTATCTCGTTCCGTTGCCCACGGCCGTTAGTTTCTCGCCCTGCCCTCGCTTCTATTCCGTGTTTACCCCTCTTGTGCTCGCTTCCCCTTTCTTTTTTCTCTCTGGCTCATTCTCTCTCTCTCTCTCTCTCTCTCCCTCTCCAGTGGATCTATTAGCGAACAACCGCGTTTACCGCGGTTTCATGGCGTCCTCCGGGCGTGTATGCGGGTCTCGGGAAATCGTGGTCCGGAGAATGATCGATATCTCGCGCGGCGCGTTACCGCGCCGAAAGTATCCACCGGCCATTACTCATCGTGAGCTCGCTCGTTACTGTCCGTGAAAATTTTTACGCGATGAAAACAAGTCCTGCCGATCGGAGCGACGCAAAGGCGAAATGGCTTTTCGTATCGCGGTGCACGGGAGAATTTCCGCTCGTTATCACGAGGATGTACGCGCGCGCTGTGTCGCGTGCGCGTACAGCGGATAACACCCATCAAAATTCGTGAGTTCCAAAGCGTGTTTCCACGGACGCGCGAGACTTTTGAAGAACTTTTACCTGGGCGGTGACGCAAGACGAACTTTCCTCGGGACGGACGGTTATTCGGAGAGGTCGCGAAAAAGAGAGAAAGAGAGCAACTTCATACCGAAGTTCCCGACGAAATTATTTCCCTGATAAAAGTTTCTCAAGGTGTCAGTGGAATCGGGGCCAATGTACAACCGGATATTACGTTTCTTAAAGTCTATATAAAACGGTACTTATTCCGCGAGATGATAGAGGAAGGTTATGGTGTTTTGGGAAGTGTACGACGCGCTTGACGACACAGGTCGTCGTGTGCGAAATATCTTCAGAATGAAGTGGTAAAACGCAGGAAATGAGACTCCAAGATATATATCGATAATATCGGCTTCCGATGAGAAATAAGAAGAAAAAGAAGAAGCAGATCATCGCGAGTCGCGCGAGTGATTTCCGAGTTAACTTCATTTGTGGAAATTAAAATTGACAAGTATTTTAGATAAAATAGATCACCTCACGATGATGGATCGCGTTCCGACCAATTATCACAAATTCACAAGCGTACAAGTGGTTGAGAACCAGCGACGCGGCGCGGTTAAAATCACGTCGTTCAGCAAAATCAAGTCCATGCTCCGGGGAAATTATCCACATCAAAACGGAGGACAAAATAGCCTTCGAGGTTATTAGGAAAGAACCGGCGAGAGAGAGGTTGATTTTAAATCATCCGTTAAATCGCGCGTAGCTTTTTTCCGAGAAAGAGGCGGAGAAAGAGAGAGAGAGAGAGAGAGAGAGAGAGAGAGAGAGAGAGAGAGAGAGAGAGAGAAATAGAAAAAGGAAAACGCCGGCTTAAAGTTATCCTCGCAGGGTAATGCTTTCTTAAAGGAAGGTAGAAGAGATATTATTTAAACAAAATTAGAATTTCGAATGGAGAAGTAGAATAAATAAGGCGGGTATTACGCAGTGACGTTGCCTCGCTATCGCCGAGGGTCGGCTCCGCCGTCGCGGCCCTTCAGACGAGGCAAATGAAATATTTTTCTCTCATTCCGCGAGGTAGAGAGTCGAGGTACGATTCTCGAACTTCGACGAAACTATTCGCGAAGCCCAACGGCTCGGTTCGTTTAAAAAGAAATAAAAAAAAAAAAAAACACGTTTCCTACAAGCGCGATGCTCTGAGCGACCCGGGGAAAAGGGGGTGCATTGTTCGTACGCGGTGGATTGTTTAACCCTCTACTGCCCAAATTAATTTCTCATGTTTAAAAAATTTTTCATGTGCATAGGATGTTTAAAACTAAAGTGCTCGACACATATAAGGTGATATTTTCTAATTTTTTATTTTCCCAAAATAGCTTTGTAACTTTGAGGTCACGTTGGGTAGTTATTATCGCTGCCAGCGTACTAAAAAAAAATAGCCATACTGTGACTTTCACGTCACATCGGTCTAGACGGAAACAACATTCATATTGGAGATAAATAATGATGAAACTGGATTGTGACCTCACAGAGTCACAGTAGAGGGTTAACAATATTTCTGCTTCGATTTCGCTACAATCTGATCATATGCGTGAACTGCGAGCCGCGTTCTCGTTGTTTCGCGACGTCGACGATACGTCGATGAGCGGCGCGCAACTCATTAAAGACGGAGGGCAATTTCACGATCTTCGATGAAGCACACACGTGGGTTACTCCTACGCAACGATCCATTATCAGATCCGGGTAAACGACGGGGACGATGTCGAGGATTGAACACACTGGCGCGCGGGGGCCAGAAATAACCGAGTCGACCCGAAGCAAACGAGCGAAACTAACCTCCCGGCCCGAACCATAAATATCACAATGGACAAGGGGACGCGCAAGGTATGTTTTTACGCCAGGAATATAAAGCGAGGCGAGGAGAATGCCGGAGAACGGCAGTTGGACATCCCCAACAATCGCGAGTCCATCTCTCTTTCTCTCTCTCCCTCTCTCTTCCCCGACACCAAACTCCAGCCCTCAACATTATTGGGTTGATAGTTTCATTGAGATCCGCGGGATAAAGTATCCGCTCTTTTCAAGTGAATCAGTAGACATTTTCCTGATTGAATCGGTAAAGGAACCGTTTTTCGCCGATCATTAATGAATATTCACTGATTTTCAGTGAAAACTCCATTTTGTCTCCATTTTGTTGCTCCGTCTTATTTTTCGCTGATTGTGACAAGTGGATAAGCAAGACTTCACTGCAAAATCTGTAATACACAAATCTACGATATACCACATCCAACTTTCTGAGTGTGTCACAATGGAATTAATGGCTTTCATGCGCCTTTTGTGCGCGATGACGCTGTCTGCATTCGCAAAGTGCATCAATGATGGGAACAGTCGCTGCTATTAAGTGATCCTTTCAGCGAGATTTTCAGCCGACTGCAATATGCCTATGCTTATCAACTCAAGTGTAAGTATATGGCATTTCAATAAAAAAAAAAATATATATATATATACTGATTGTACTTTAGAGAGAACTGCGCTGCAGTTTCTCGTCAAGACCGTGGTATAAAGCATCACCGATCGCGCACCGTTTTCAGAGTCTCGCGATCCGAAGTGACAGCTACAATCGGTCACTTCGAAAACGAATCACCGAATGGTCAGCGAATTTACACCCCCGCGCGTCGCCCGTCCACATATCCGCGGGCGCATTTTTGAAAACAAACGATCGCCGAAAATGCCCATCCGAGCGAGCTCTCGGTTTTTGGCGGCGAACTTTGCTTCCGTGTAACGGGATCCGCGCAAAACGATAACCCGCAACCCGCGCCGCCG